GATACTTTGTGGATTGTTGATCGTGAAATACTCGTATAAACTTTGATTTGAAACCTTTACTTGAATTAGCCGTGATAGTAAACTTGTAAAAGCCTTAAGATTACTACGTACATTAAAAAGAAATAATACTCTGACACCCCGTCTAACAGTTGTAGTTCGCAAGAATTACACGTTAACATTAGTTATCTTAAAAAATGTATGCAGAAGGAATTAAATGATTAAAAAAATATTATGGATGATGATTGCATTATATAAAACTTATATATGAGTTATTATACATGAAATTCAGATTTTGATCTTATGATTTATATAGTCTCACAGCATAATTTTCATACGTACTTAATCCATATAATCAAGAAGTATTAAAAAAAGGAACAATTAATACTATTAAACAAAAGGCAAAAGAAGTAAAATTTGATATATTATAGAATGAGATTGTATTAAGGTTACATGAAAAATTTGATCTAATTCTAATTGATAAATATTGAAATTTAACATTTAAAACTTTTGACTGGAATTTATAAAATACTTTTGAATAAAAATACTTTTAAAACATTTACTTAATAAAAATTGACTTATAGTAGTTAAAGTTCTATTTATTTTAGATTAAAAGCCAATCTGATCTGATCTAAGATTTTTAGTTTGATTTGTTTAGTTCAGATTTTAAATTTAAAAAATGTTAATCTAAACTAAATTGATCTGAAAACCTTGAATAAACAGAAAATTTTCAGATTATTAAATCAAAAAAGTTTACTTCTGATAGTTCAGATATAAATTTATTAGATTTTTTTTTCTAATAAAAATTACTCTAAAAATTCAGATGTAACTTTTTTATTATTTTTCCCAATAAATATCACTTTAACAATTTAGATATGACTATATAAAAAAAAGGGAATTATAATTTAAAATAAATCTGAAATTTTTGTTTTTTATAATCTGAAAAAAAATGGCCATTTCTTTATTAAGAATTCGTTGTATCGGAACCCAATCATGAAAAATATAGCCAGTGTTTTCCTTTTCTTCTTTAATACAAAAAGTCTGAAATAATAGCCGGTATCATGTGACTTTATGAATCCTATAATCACGTGATATTAGATTAAATCAAAAATATTTTTTCGAAATCAACTTTTTCATTCAAATACAATAATGTCTCGGCCAGAACACAAAGCCCCACCGGAAATTGTAAAAAAATTTTTTAATTATTTTTTTATAAAATTAATTTTTATTCCTTTTATTAATTCGTTTTTAGTTTTATAATGATGATGAAGCGAGGAAATATACATCAAAGTGAGAAACTCAAAAATTAAAATCAATTTAGAAATTGTTTCATTTAATCAATTCGATTGTTAATTCTTTTTTTTTTTTTTTACAAATTCATTAGTTCAAGAATACAGAGTATTCAAGCCGAAATGGTAAATCAATTATAACTCGATTCAAATTCGAATAATGTTTAAGACTAATTTTAATTATTTCCTTTTATAACTAGGCATTACGAGCCCTTGAACTTTTGAATTTGCCAGAAAATGAAACGTGTTTCTTACTCGATATAGGTTGCGGATCAGGACTAAGCGGAGAAATCTTAGATGAAGAAAACCATATATGGGTGGGATTGGATATTTCTCCATCAATGTTACGTTAAGTATTGTATCATATTCGCGATCTTTTTTATTTATTTATATCCTGATGTTAACCCGTGATTTTTAATTAGAAGTTGCATTGGATCGAGAAGTTGAAGGCGATTTGTTCTTACAAGACGTTGGTCAAGGAATAGGTTTTCGACCGGGCACATTTGACGGCGCGATAAGGTAAATACCATTATTTATTTATATTGATTAACTCAACTATTAACCTTTTGTTTTGTTTTGGTAAAAAAGTATTTCCGCTTTACAATGGCTTTGTAACGCTGATCAGCAATCTCATAATCCAAAAAGTCGATTAAATCGGTTTTTCTCAACATTATATGCATCATTACGACGCGGAGCTCGTGCAATATTTCAATTCTATCCTGAGAACGATGATCAATGTGAATTAATTATGAGTGTAGCAATGAGATGTGGGTTTGAAGGTGGTCTAGTGGTAGATTACCCTAACAGTAAAAAGGCTAAAAAATATTATCTGTGCTTATTTGCTGGGCAAATTCCTGGTAGACAAAAACAACAAATACCACAGGCTTTAGGTGAAGACGAAAGTGAACCAACAGGTGTAGTTTATTCAAATCAAAGGTTTGTACTATGTTAAATTGGTTAAAATATTCATATACATATTTTTAAGAAAAAAAACCCCAATATAATTTATTTAATTTTTTTAGAATAAATGAACGACAAAAGGTAAAGGGAAAGCAACGTAGATCAGTTAAAGATAAGGATTGGGTATTGCGTAAAAAGGAAGTTGCTCGTATGCGTGGGAATAAAGAAGTGCCATTGGATTCTAAATACACAGGAAGAAAGAGAAAACCCAAGTTCTAGAATAGTTATTATTTCTTGGATATTAATAATATTTACAAATTTGTGAAGTAGATATGTATAGTTCACATAGTTTTCGCTTTTTTAAATATTTATTTAATCATTACTCATTATTCCCTTCCGTATCTGAATTCGATGATGCATTCCTTAATTCTGTACTTAAGTCTTTATTATCATCATTAGTATCGGTTTGTTTGTCTTTATCTTCCTGTTTTGTCTTTGCCTTTTTAATATTTTGTTTTTTAATTTGTTTCTTCTTTTGTCGTTTTGCTCTCTTTTTTGCCGTTTTTTCCTCCTCTTGTGCTTTAACTACTGCCACCTTTTCTTCGAAATCCTGTCTTTCTTCCTCCTAAAAATCAAAAATCTTTTGGTTAAATCTAACCTAAATGAAATCGAAACGAGTTTGTAAGATATTAAACCTTTTTTGTTTCCTCCTCCATGATCTTCAATCTGGTATATTCTCTTCGACGATGAGCTCTGTAAACGTGAAATTCACCACTACCAGCACCGGCACTAGATCCTTATTAATTCAAATCAAATCAAATATATAAATAATATATATATATATACCAGAACAAATTAAATTAATAATATCGCTCATACCTTGAACATTTCTAACGATATCCTTTGGAGGTTTTAATTTTGGTTTATCTACCATTTCAGGAATATTAACGGGCTTATCGACCTTTCTTAATAATTTTTCTAATTGTAGACGTTGAATTTCTACAGGTGTTAGGTTATACCTGTGTGTCCTATGTTTTATTCCCTCTTCGCTATCACTATGTTCTGAATCGTTAGGAGAATGATTAGTTTTCTGAACTGGTTCTTTGGCTGACATTTTTATTTTTGGTAAATTTATTTTTCAAAGCTACAGAATTTTTTAATAATTAAATGCAATAAAAAGTTACGAAATCATGTGATATGAGATATGACTCAGCTATTTGTGACACAAAATTTGAAAAAAACTTCATTATGAGAGCGGTAATTAACATAATATATTCGGAGGAATATTGCTTGTTTAATCTCATTTACAAAAGATAACTACTAGTACGAAATTAGTTGGCTTCGGTCCCCTTAACAATATAAATTTGATATCCGGAAATTAAGGATTTCACTTATAGAACTTCCGATATTTTTAAAGATGGAAAACCCAAAATATTTGACATTGCATATCAATAAAAAAACTTTCACATGTTCCGCATATTCTTGTAAAAAGAAATGGTTGATTTGAAATTTATCATTGTTGTTAAACATTATTAAATAAATTAAAAGTAACCAAATAAGGAAAAAATAAGGAAAATATTCATTATACATTATATTAATATTATTATAATTTTGTAATATCGTAATTCTATTATTAGAAATAAATTAAATGTATTCATATTATAGGTAGAAAGAAGGAAAAGAAAGAAAAAAAAAGGGAACAACTAATTTTTAAGGGGTTCGCGATAAACTAACAACCCATAATTTTAGCTAATTCTTCTAAATCATTAATTATCAAATCAAATTCACGATTGACTTGACCACCAAATCCATTAGTATATTCCAATTCTTCTTGATCAATTTTTTCACCATATTCCGTCGTAACTTCATCTTCATATTCTTCACGTTGTACTAAAATGGTTTTCAAGCCCAATTTTCTGACATTTTTTAGATCGTTTTTATTAGAAGAAACCACGGCGACTTCTTCAGGATCTAAATCTAACATCTCACAACTACCCAAATACAATTTAGGGTTGGGTATGTAACATTTCCAAGATTCCGCAGAAAACATATAATCGAAGGATAAATTTGTATTCCGTTTTAAATCGACCAATAATCTAACGTTGGCGTTACTTAAAGCAGCATTAATATATCGTTTACCAAGTCTCGTTATACCGGGTACAGAATCTTTATAAGGATCTAATTTATGCCAAACATTAACTAAATTTTCTATTTCATCATCCGACCATAAATGAACTATATCAAATTCCACAATCAATTGTTCTATGAGTTGTCGATTTAGTGAATCAACTGACAAAAATGGTTTTATTCCTGAATTTGTTGAATTAATATACGCTTTATATCCATTTCGCCATTTTTGTGCGAATGAATGCCAATTTTTATTTAGTAAATTTTGAGTTGGAGAACATCGAGTTGATGTTAAGGTTGCGAATGACGATAATTCTTGAGTTAATGTTGTTCTCCAACTTACTGTCGTTTCAAATATATCAAAAAGAAATGCTTTGACATCAATCATAGAGTCTGGGATTTCTTCTATCATTTTTGCAAGGATTTAAAAAAATATATATTTATATATTATTTTTTTTTGAGAGGAGATTTTTTATTATTATTTAGTCGATATATTAGATATTTTAGAATTTTTCAAAAAAAAAAAAAATGGGTTTTTTTTTTAATTATAATGAAGAAAAATATAAATTCTCAAGTCCAAAGATTCATACCTTTATATTGACTAAATTTCGATCAACTAAATATTTAATCTTTTATTTTGATGCAATAGAAAAAAAAATTGTCTTTTACTTTAATTCATTATGTAAGGGTTGTTCCGTTTAATGTAAGGGCATCTATGTTTAAGACTATCTATTGTAGAATAGATGTTACCAACACAACAAAAAAAACCAAAAATGGATAATAAAGAATAAATAAAATGTATTTTTTTTTAAAAAAAAAAAAAAAATAATAGATTGATCATTTCTAAAATATAAACTGATTGGTGAATCTTCCAAACAAGGAGTTTAAGAACTGTTTACGTAAATGAAAAAATTTTTTTCACCTTTCTTAATAAATTTCGTTTTATTGACATTTTTGATGCATTCTAATATGGTTAGTTATGTTATGAAAGGATTATCGAAACGATCTTGTCTGCGTCAAGAATTTCCTATAATATAAACAAACAAAATTCCATTTCTTCCCATTTAATTCGTCAACACCAATCACTTTTCACCAAGTTTATTTCCAATACCAAAGGTTGTTACTTTTTGTATTGAGCAAAAAAATTTTTTTTTGGTTTCGTTTCTAAAAATTTAACCTATTCAGGAAAATCCGTTTTTATATAAATTTTTATCAAAATATTTAATATGCGTTTGGGTATTTTGAATAATCATTCATTTTTTTTTTCTTTTCAAATTTTCCCTTTTTATTCTTTATAAAAATAAAAATAAAAAATAAAAAATATTGATAAATGATTCATTTTGCCATTTGTTACTCACCCCGCTAAATGCCGTTTATCATAGAAAACACGGTTGTCAATATTATTGTCATATGTGATACAACATTATAACTCAAAATTTTTTTCCCCATCATCCATCCATAAACAGGAAATTTTTAATTTTTCTTATCCCATTGTATGAGATGATAGATTAACCAGATGTTGAAATTGATATCGATGTTTCCAATTCGGTTTTACCGATTATATGAATTTTTTAATTTATTCTGGCCGGCTTTCATTACGATATACATCATTGAATACTTAATAAAGATCTAGTATGATATTACGAATCACCTAAATTCGGGATGCCAAGAAAGGATTGGTTCTTTTTTCTAGCAAAAAAAAAATAATCTAACAAAACATTTATGTTAAAATTCAAATTATTTGTCAATAAAATTGGAAAGCCACTATTAATAAAAGGAATTTAAAAATGATTGAACGGATTGGGAAAACCGGCTAAGTCGGAAATCGATTTTAATTGACGATTTAATCTGCAAAAAAAAATCGATTATGAATAAACCTAAGGAAAAAAAAATATGCCAATAACATCTTGAAGCTTTGGAAGCGGATAAAACAAAAATTATTAGAATTCACCATGAAATATGGATTCTAAAGAATATATTTGTATATCAAGTTCTTAAATAGGGTTCAGAATGAAATCTAATTTGATTGAACTTTTTGATCATCTTAATGTATTAGAAATCAAGTCATGAAAATTTTTCTAAAAGCGTCATATGTTAAGTCACAGAATTAACAAACTAGTATCTTTAAAGAAAATCTGTTCATACCCTTATAAATAAATCATAAAATAAATAATTTATATAAAAACATGTGGAAGCAAATTTATAAAATTTACTATTTTGTAAATTTTAAAAGTAAAATAAAATACTTATTTAAGAATTCTATTAGTCTGAAATGAAGCAATAATAATTGCAATACTTTTATCATTGCTATGACAAAAATGAGGGTTCTAGGGCAAAAATCCAATCTAAATAGTATACAATAAGTTTTCTGTCCGCCAACGAAACAATTTTAGCTATATGAATCAATTATTAAATTTAAACCTCTATCCCGATTTGACTCAAATCTAGATGTTGATATCGAACTTGGCTAGGAATTAGCCTATCTGATACTAAGAATTACACAGTTTGATATAGCTATTCTAGCCTGATTTTAATCCCAAATAATATATAAAAAAACTTTACTATTCTGTTTGCCTCAGAAGGGCTCATGAAAAATCAAGGAACAAAGTGACGTGATTTGAGCTGAGCCTAAGGTTGTTGGACTAAATTAAGAGTTTAGACAGACATCTAAATGGTAAAAGTAAAACTTGGTTAAATTATATTAAAACCTTATTAAAAAAT